TGGAGGACCCTGTAGAGTGTGCTGTAAGAGGTTTTAGAATGCTAAGCTTTATGGTAAATAAAGAGTGGTTTTGATAATTCATTTACTAGTGGTATACTAGTTGTATATACTGTATTGTTATATCATATATTATTGTGTAAAGGTGCCCATACACCTTACGACCATCGCAAGACTTTTGTCTTGCGATGGTCGTATGCTTATTGAAAGCTCGTACGATCTGCCCACCTTGGACGGGCAGATCGTACTTGCGATGACCGCAATGCAGAACGGGCAGTGTGCGCGTGCGCACACCGGCCCGTTCCGCAGCTATCGGACGAGCAGGCTAGAAACCCGCCGACAATCGTACGATTCTCGGCAGGTTTTCGAGCATGTTGGTTAGACAAAAGACGTGCGACCGTACAGTAGAAACGGTCGCACGTCTTCGTTCACACTGCTCGATTCTCGTACGATCGCGGGATTTCGCCCGATTCTCGTACAAGAATCGAGCAGTGTATGGGCACCTTAAGAGGTGTGTAAAGGTGGAGACCTTAAAAAACCTGTTGGTTTTTTTTTTTTTTAAAGATACACCAGACATGAGGGAAATACAGTACAGTATGTATCTAGATATATTTATTAGACAAATCAGGCAGGGGTTTCTTTTTGGTTGCAGGTTTAGAGTGAGTGCCCATTTACACATACTGTACCGCAACGGATCAAAGCAGGTCACCGCAAGGACACATACAGGGCTATTCACAAAAGGGTGAGAATTTGGAGAAAGCAGGAGAAGTGAACAATCTAGGACAACACAGATGAACCGGAAAGTGAGCTGAATTGGAGAATTTTTCCAAATCAGCTGTTTTGGCCTAGATTGTTCACTTCACCTGCCTTCTCCAAACTCTTCACCCTTTTGTGTATAATACTGAAAGAAAACAATTGTTTTCTATGTGTCACATTTACACTACAACGGGAGGGTGATAGGTGGGGCACTGCAGAAAAATTCAGACATGTGAATCCAATTGCACATCATCACGCTGCTGTGCGGGATCCTTAATGGAGTGTATAAATGGTAGTTAAGGTAATAAAAATGTAAACAGTGACAGTTCTGGCCGTGTATGATACAATGCACACTGCCAGAGCTCCCACAATGCATTAGCCCACTTCCTAAAATGTAGCATTTTAGCAGGGCTAGTGTCAACAGGCCCATAGAGTTATAAAGGCCTTCAAGTCATACATACTGTATGTATGGATTATAAAGTCTTATACCACAACTTTTTTTTTTAATTGTGGAAAGAGATTAAAAAGATTAGAACCCCTGTCAGACTATCAAAGATTCATCTTCTCTATTTGCCTTGGTGGCCCTAGTAACTTGTACTAAAAGTGAGGAAAATCCCAGCAAGGGCTCAAAATTTCCACTCGCCTGTTCGCATTTGGCGAGTAAAAATAAGGTGAGGGCGAGTGGAAATTTGGGTCTCCCAATACCGGCTTGCGGCCCAACTCCGGCCCGCGAGCCGCTACTATGTGGCCCACAGCCAGCTGACATGTCAGGCAGACGGTCGTAGACCGCGTACCTGACTTGCGGGAGCAGCTCCACGGATCTGTGTCAGATGCAGACCGCAGAGCAGCTCCGGCTTCCTTCGGCCCGGAGCTCTGACAGTTCTGAGCTCCGTCCGAAAGAAAGAATGTCTGTGAGCAGGATCGATGCCTGGTTATCTGGGGGTGATAGTCAGGACTGCTGCAGACCTCACTAATCACTCACCGATAAACCAGGGATCGATCCTGCTCACA